ACAAAGACCTGTGATTATACTGCTGGTTTCACTTCAATATCAGCCCAATGAGCATTTAATCAGTTCAAGTTTCAGGTCTCTATCTCAACTTCCAACCCCTTATACTAGTTGCTCCTCAACATTTACAAACCTAAGAATACTATTTTTATTGTCTATCCCTATCCTGATCACTCTTTTTACAGCCTCTATAACACTTTTATTTCAAATTATTTTCAAATAAAGTTATTATTATTTTTACCTTTCCTCTAACTTTGTTCTTATTTCCTTCTCTCTTATGTTACAACCAAAAATTATCTTTTGCTTCTGGACAGCACTGACTGCAGTGAAATTCTGAAAAGACTTTTTACCCATTACCTGAGTTACTCCCAAATAGAAAACTGTAAATACTGCTAGTTTTAATTTTAGGAGCAAAATAAAGGTAATTGAAGAGTATTTCAGACATAAAGAAAAATGCAGGACCAATTCTAATTAAGGGACTGCGACTGCCAGATGGTAATTGACTGTTTAAAATCTATGATTATGTGAGAAAACATTGGTCACAATAATAATGTTATGTAAATTAAGTGGCTCCTTGGGATAGATATTTACATTTCCAGATGTCTGTGACTATATAAACGTAACTGAGAAAAAAAAAATGTGCTAGTCTGTATTCAGGTGATTTCTTGAAACATGGTTGACAGCCTTATTCAAAGATGAGGCAATCACAGAGAAACACAGACAGGAATAACTCCAATGTTATGGAAAACACACCTGCCAAAATATGTGACACCTGATTACGAAAAACACAACTCATTTAATAACAAAGTTATTTGGCTTTAAAAGTAATTATAGTTTAGACATCCTTTCTGCTAATTCAGTCTGTATCACCACAGGATATGTTCACTTAGACAACAATTGCGCACCATGTATCCATCCAAGGAAGGCTCAATGAAACAATATGTGACTATGTTTTTATTCTTGACATACTCATCTTATGGAGGATTCAAAGAGAGAAGCCAAAGGAAAGGGAATCTTACTTCTTTTCAGTTGGGTTTTTTCCCTAAATACAGCAGAGAGCAGAGCGTAAGAGTTCTTTATAAGCATACATTATCATCTTCATATGGAAGCTATGTGTAATTTATTATATATGCAATGTATTTTATATATACACATTTATATTAAAATATATCCTCAGGGGTGCTGTTTTTCTTTGTCAAATACCAAAAAAAACCCTGCAGGAAAGCCCAATCATTCATATCTACATTTTCCCTAAGGGGAATATTGCCACCAGTATGGATCAGGTAGCATCACCTCTTGAGACGGATCTGGGCACTGGACCACAGAGTTGGGGTCACAGTCACCAGAGTCCCCTTTGTGGCTCAGTGAACATTGGATAATTTGTGATTTTAGCTGTCAGTCCACAATTCCAGATGAAATCCCAACCAGCCAATTGATCACTGTAATAATTTGTATATTCTCCAGTTCAGATTATAAAACTTGTCAACTGTCATTCAGCTCAATGGGCTTTATTCAAGGCAGTGATTTATCTGTGTGCAGATATTATGGATCCACAACTTGATGAAATATGAAATTGGAATCGATTATGGTATTATCAATATTTGTTTTCCATTATATATAAAAGCCCTTCTTTTATATGAAAGAACATAATGTTTGAAGTCAGCCTATTTGTCATTATATCTTGCTCTACAACCCAAATGGCAAGTACCAATGTAAGCTGAGAATTTTTTTTCAGGATTTCTTTCACTGCCTTCTTTCCTTCTTTAAGTTTATTCTTGGAAAACTGAAAACACCCACTTTTAAACATTATTTGCTCTTCATTAGTTATAATTAGGGCATACCAGGTCTCACCTGCAGCACTCATTTTGTCATCTCACTGAAGATTAGTACATGAAATGTTCAACCAAATTTCAGCTCCTGGCTAGGGTGGAGTTAATTTTCTTCAGAGCAGTCTGTAACTGCTGTATTTTGGATTTGTGACTAAAACAGTCTTGATAACACAACAGTGCTTTGGCTGTTGCTGAACAATTCTTGCCCAGCATCCTGGTTTTCATATTCCCACTCTGCCCTTGCAGAAATAGGCAAGGGGTGAGCAAGAAATTGGGAGGGTTCACAAACAGGACAGCTGACCTGAACTGGTCAATAGGATGGTCCATAGCATACAAGCTCACCAAAAAAACTCTGGGGAAG